ATTCGAACCCGCCACCTTAGGTGTATGTGGCTGGCGCCCTAGCTGCTTGAGCCACAGGTGCCGAGCCCATCATCTCTTTCTCAAACCTCCTGTCTCACTTTATTATATTTCTTTTATTGAACTTAGCACATTCTGTCTTGCATCTTTTATATGCCTCTCTCCTTGACTACATTAATAGTCTTGATAAAGGCCAGGACCGTCTCTTCTTTGTAAAATATGGTCATTCGGTGAATGATTTTCAACTGAGCTACGTGGTAATGCCAGACAGGAGCAGATATCTTGCCCTGACTGGCTGGAGTTGCCAGGAACAGATTAATTTGGGTTGCAAAATCAAGGGGGATATTCACAAGCAGAGAAATGGGAAGGAGAGGTTATAGGGAGCAGGCAGTTTGCAAGTAAGTGTCAGAGCTGGAGCTGGTCCCAGGACGGGCACAGCCACCTTTTCTTTTGGGGCACAAAAGAAAGGCAGGTTAGGTAGTTTCCCATCATCCTTTATAAAGCAGCTGTCAGAGGCTGCAGGCGTCTGCCCTGTTTTAGAAATCTGTGTTTATTTTTTTAAAAGAGTGAAGATAGTGTGGCTTGATGCCTGAAACCTGGGTCTGGGTCAAACACAGGCCCGTTCCTGCCCGCAGGAGACCTTGTGGGCCCCCGGTCCTGGCGTGATCAACTAACTCCTCCATGTCTACATTCAGTAGCAACGCATCATGGCTGTTGAGACATTTCTAGGTTTCCTTAAATAAATGAAAAAAATAGGAACATCGCTTGTGTTTCCAAGAAATAGCCATGAACACTCAAGCTTGGAAAGAAGAAACAGATGTAATCAGAGAATTGACATGTACGGTTTCTCCACTAGGCAGCAGACTAGGACAGACCAGGACAGACCAATGTTAGAAGCTGCTCCTGTATTTACCCGAGGAAATCATTGGTTTTCTCTGTCAGTTCCTATGTTCCCTTGACTACACCAAATGTTTCTCAGCTGATCAGACCATTCCCATGTAAAAATCTGCTAAAACCTGGAATATAAGTAGTGGGTTGATTTCATTTCCTTAATCTGAAATTCTGATATAATTTTTTTTAATTAATGAATTGCTTCCATTTTTTAAATTTTTTTGCCCAAATTGTTTTTTATTAAAAAAAATGCAAAGTATTAGGAATAGTTTATTCTGGAACTCTGATAGTACACTGGTGACATGTTAAGTCTTTCCGCTGATACTGATCTGGATTACATTTAGAAGATGGGTAACCATGAGAGTTCTACTCAGCATTTCTTTCAAGTTTCTCTGTGTGTGTGTGTGTGCACGTGTGTATACAAACATATGCTCACAAATATGCCTGTATGTATGAGTATATACACACTTCGTGCTTGTACACATCATACATATATAATGTGTACTATATATGTCTAAATACAGCAATACACTAAATGTTTAAGAACAAACACGCTGGAGCCAGACTCCCTGGGTTTAAATCTGAGCTTACTAGACTGGGACACTTACTTACAGTTCTGTGTCTCAGTTTCTTCACCTGTAAAATAGACATAACAGTGACACCCATATTATATAGTAACTGCACAGATCAAAGGATTTAATGTTAGTGATGATTATTTATGAATATGTAGAAAAACCCATTTGTTCCATCATTTATGTTGCCACGTTTATTTGGTAAATAACACCTCCTACCTATCCAGTGTAGGAGTTCAGATTTTTTTGGAGGTGCTATCATGTTGGATTGGCATTGACTTGGATTCACTTTCACTACATACATTATTCACCTCAGTAATCTGAGTGCTGTACTGAATGGGCCAGTCATGATTCGTGCTGTTTGGGGACTTAGTTCTCATAGAGACAAGAGAAATGATGTGTGCTTTTCTTTTTCCATTCTCTAATTCTCCCTTTCTTCTCCTCTTGGCCCTCCTCATTTAGAAGAATGTGAGGAATGGAGAGACGTATCAATTAGAAATTCAATTCAGTGATCATTTACCAAAAAATAGTGGTTTAACAAG